CAATAGTGGACTTGGTCCATCAGGTGACACAGAGACTCCTGAGGAACCTTCATGTTGACGTGAACCTGCTGGATGTGGAAGCAGCTGCTTGATCTCATGTTACAGAACTACTGTAGAAGACGATCACATGTCACATGTTGTGTTCACAGCTTGTTGTCACTGAACCACAAGTGGACAAAGAAACCACCTGATGAGGTTTAAACATTTATTCACTGACTGCTGAAGGAAACTGAGTGTGAAATAGAAGCTGACGGTCAGAATGATGCTGACAATAATAATAATAATAGATGAATGAGTGAACGTGATGAGCTGTGGTCATCGGCCAATCACAAGAAGAAGAGGTGGTCCATGTGGACATGAAGGACAAAGCTGTGTGTGATGTAATGTCCACGTCTCCATGCTGCTCTGACCCCCCTCCTCCTTTCAGGGTGGAGCCTGATGGAGTCCGATGGCTGAGACCAGGTCTGAGGAAGTGTAAGTGTGCTTTGATTCATGAAGTTTCAACCATCTTCACACTGTGACATCACTCATTCACCTCTGTGACGTCATCATCAACGTGTCAGTAGATGAACACATGATTAATAACTGCAGCTGTATTGTGTCTTGTTCTCTCATCAGATTCCTGTGAACTCACAATCGACACAAACACAGTAAACAAACACCTCAAACTGTCTGACAACAACAGGAAGGTGACACGTGTGAAGGAGGATCAGTCACATCATGATCATCCAGACAGATTTGACTACTGTCCTCAGCTGCTGTGTAGAACTGGTCTGACTGGTCGCTGTTACTGGGAGGTCGAGTGTAGAGGAGACGTTTATGTATCAGTGAGTTACAGAGGAATCAAGAGGAAAGGAGACAGTGATGACTGTATGTTTGGAATGAATGATCAGTCCTGGAGTCTGATCTGCTCTGATGGAGGTTACTATGTCTGGCACAATAAGACAGAAACACACATCTCCTTCTCCTCCTCTGGTAGAGTAGCAGTGTATGTGGACTGTCCTGCTGGCTCTCTGTCCTTCTACAGAGTCTCCTCTGACACACTGATCCACCTCCACACCTTCAGCACCACATTCACTGAACCTCTTTATCCTGGGTTTGGGTTTGATCTCTGGTATGGTTTTGGTTCCTGTTTTGGTTCCTCAGTGTCTCTGTGTTCTCTGCAGGAGGGAGAGTCTCCTCCTGGTGGAGAACCTTCCTCTCTGCTCACCACATAGTTCAGTCTGTGCAGCTGATGGTGGTTCATGTGGGTGTAGATGCAGGTGGAGCAGGTGAGGGGTACCTGAGCTGGTCTGGACTCTGGGGGGTCCACAGCTCTCTGGGACTTGTGGTGTTGCAGATGGAATCAATAATTATCGTTTAGATGTTTAATCTTCATCTTCATGTGTCACAATGTTCAAGTAGACGTTTGATAAACGACAAATAAGGAAAATATGAATAATTTTTTTAGCAGATTTCAACTTCAAATGTTTAATGAGATAATATCAGGTGCTTCTGTTTCTAACAGTATATTTAGTCCCTCCATGTATTACTTTGCTGACATACTTGTATGATTAAAGTCTTATTATTGCAGCAGGAAATTAATAAAAGTGAAACAATCGTCTCAAAAGTGACTTGATTATTTAGTTCTTTTCTTCATTTTAAAGTTTGTTTTCCTACTTCAACTATTAAGTTATAACACGTTTATACATCAATGTGTCGTAAACACTTATCAGAACAAACAAAGACATCAAATCAAACTTTATTTCCTGCACATTTAAAAAACAAAATGAAAGCAGAAGCTCGTTTCCTCTGGATGGAATGAATCCATCAACGCTGTGTCTCCCACAGAGGAAACGAGCAGATAAAACCAGTCACATGATCCCTGTGTGTTTAAAGTCTCTCAGTGGAACGAGTCCCCACTCGTCCCGTCTTCATCCGTCCTCTGTGGACCGTCGCCATGGCGACCGTCACTCGTCCGAGCCGGCTGAGCGTTTTTGGTTCCTCTTGCGAGGAGATCTTCTGGGAGACGCTTTGTCTGGAGAGAAGAAGAGAAGAGAAGTCACCTCCGTGATGAAGATGTTTCATTCTGTTTAAACGGAGGCTGAAGACGTTTTGCTGCGTGTTGTTCATTAGTTATTTCATCTCTTAAGCAACACACACACACACACACACACACACACATCTCACCTCTGCGACTCTGCACTGGAGACGCAGGGAAACATGAGAGAGAAACAGTGAGTGACCCTCATGCAGAGTGGAGGTTAAAGGTCAAACAGGGAGAGAACAGCTGATTCTGCGAGAAAAACGGCAGCAGAGATGAAAGCGTCCGAGCAACAAAAGAATGTCACTTTATATCTTTATGTTCTCTACAAAACCTCTGAAGCCTTTTAGATGCTTTCAAATATTCATCATGAGGATCAACTTCCAGAAGAAGCAGAGAGACAGAAGGAGACAAAGGGAGAGACAGAAGGAGAGAGAGGAGCCCTACTGATCTGGTTGAGGGTCTCCTGAGGGATCCAGCTGAGGTCCACGTCGTTGTGGCTGGAGGTCCCCATCTCCACCTTTGGCCCTGGGCGCCAAACACGATTTGTTGGCGCCCAGGGGTTAGTGCACTGAACTGTGTTCGAAGGGTTAGGTAACCGTGGATAAAGTGTTTATCATCACTTCATCGTCATTCAACGCTTCAGCCTTTAGTTTATCGTCATTCAACGCTTCACCCTTCAGTTTATCGTCATTCAACGCTTCACCCTTCAGTTTATCGTCATTCAACGCTTCACCCTTCAGTTTACCGCCATTCAACGCTTCAGCCTTCAGTTTACCGCCATTCAACGCTTCACCCTTCAGTTTACCGCCATTCAACGCTTCAGCCTTCAGTTTACCGCCATTCAACGCTTCACCCTTCAGTTTACCGCCATTCAACGCTTCAGCCTTCAGTTTACCGCCATTCAACGCTTCACCCTTCAGTTTACCGTCATTCAACGCTTCACCCTTCAGTTTATCGTCATTCAACACTTCATCCATCAGTTTATCGTCATTCAACACTTCTGTCGGGATCTCCGATCCCCCGAGTCAGTTGATGAGAAGGATCCAGCACGTTGATCAATTAAAGTCAAAAAGTTTACATTTATTTAGAAGAGAAAAAGATGACATGAGCAATTCTCTGCAGATATCGGTCTCTAACTATTGCTTGCAAGCAGGAGGTCCAACACACCAGCACGTATTCCAGCGCTCTGTGTAATGGCGTCTCCGAGCAGTAAAAACGCTGAGTTTTTATACACTTGAAGACAGTTCTTAGCGGCGGTTACGAGAAGCCACAAATCAAGTTGAGATAAGAACTCCGGTGAAGCTGAGGGTAACACCCAATGCTCCTCTGATCGAAGGTCTGTGAGAGCGAGATGACCCCCTTCCCCAAACACAGCTGCAAACCCTAAATCTTTCTATCTCCCTCCATCTCAGGGTCAACCACTGCGACTTGGCTTTTAGCACAAGACAATTGTTTACAGAATGTTTTCACCGCTACGAGCATCTCACACCGGCAGAAAACAAACAAACAACCCAATGGACGACACAAGAGTCCCTAGTAGAGCACAACGGCGTAGATTCGGGTGTTCGGTTGCCAACTACCATGGGTAAGTTCATTTCAGTTGCATCACACTAAAACAAGTGCTAGGTACCAGATGCTAGCTGATGCTGTTTGTGAGACGTGTTAGCAGTGCTAATATGTGTTGAAACATGTGTACCTTCCCATAACTAGCGAGGAATTAAATCGACGATGAAAACAATGTAACAATGATAAAACGTAAGGCTAACCCGGGTCCCACTTGATAACCGTAGCTTTCATAGCTAACATAGGTGCCACTTGCTAGCTAGCCCTTAGCCTTTGAGAAACGTGTAGATCTTCCCACTAACCTGCAAGGAATTCAATTTAGAATGAAAGTTACAAACGTAACTAAATAAACTGTACTTTCTACATTTGTTTTTGCACTATAGTTGAGTTTTTATGTTTCTTTGTCCATTTTTATGTGCAGGTAATTTCTTTGTGCACGTTATTACGCACGTATTTGCTGTAAAGCACTTTGAGCTGCATTCTTTTGCATGAAAGGTGCTCTATAAATAACGTTTTATTAGTATTTGTGCTGTACCATCTTATAGATACTACAATGGACCCGGAAGAGACGCTGCTCGGAGGCTCATCTGGAACCTCCTCACCTACGTCAACCTTCTACTCCACTGCGTGCTACCTCCTCCGTTAGGTCGACTCTAGCTGCTCTCCACCACCTTCAACTACTCCACTGCGTGCTACCTCCTCCGTTAGGTCGACTCTAGCTGCTCTCCACCACCTTCTGCTCCACTGCGTGCTACCTCCTCCGTTAGGTCGACTCTAGCTGCTCTCCACCACCTTCTGCTCCACTGCGTGCTACAATCACTGATGATCTACCTGGTAAGTTCTGCAATATTATAACAGCATCAACATATGGGCATCACAAAGAATCTTCATGCCATGCTGTCACTCATCCTGTGTAGTCTAACAAACAGCTGATGTCGAGATGGTTACTACCACATGCCTAATCGGTAGGGATACGACTGACTTTATAGCTGCCGTTTCTTAAAGGAACGAGGACCCAGCAAACAAGGCCAGTGAGAGACGTCCATGTGCTGGTAAACCAGATGCAAGTCATGACTCGACAATGGAAGGAGGACATGGCAAGAAGTGAGGCCCGGGAGGAACGGTTGATCGCCAGCATCCTCCGCACTGACAGTACGGTTGAGAAGCTGATGCAGAGAATGGAGAACATTCAACCTCAACCAACCACATTCTCACCACCACCACAACATCAACCACCGCAAGACGCCTATTATGGTTATGGATGCTTACTTATTTACACTAGCGCCTGAAAAGCACAATTTATACACTCTACCTCAGTGTGTGTGTGTGTATATAAATATTTTCTGTGACACTCAAGGTTTTACCTTTTATACTTGTGTGCTCTTATACCTCGTTTTACTTTTAATATTTCGTATAAATAAAACACTTAACTAAAACTTCTGTGAGTTTCTTTATTTGTGGAATGAAACACACATGAACTGTACAAGAATTGTGTTTACAAACCTATGACCAGCTGGCAGTTGTGTCCTGAAGACGTCTAAAGGTCTGCGCGGGGCAGGTTTGCACTCAGGTAATCTGAGGGCGGCTCTGATCCTCTGTCCACGGTTGTTGGCACGACCACCTGGCTGTGGCAGGTTCGATGCCAGTGTGGCCGCTTCCACTGACCAGTTGGGATCCACAGCTTCCCAACAGGAAGTGAGCGATTTCTCTCGGTTCCTGGGAGGAGAAACAGAAATGGTTTCCAGTGTTGGACCTGCTTACTAAATGGCCCAGCATAAATAAAACAATATATACATAAAAGCACAATAAAGCCTCTATAAAACATCATTCTACTTTAAGCTGGTAACATCTCAATAGCTTGGTGGGAGCTCCACTAGTTTCTGCATGAATAACTTTCAGTGGCTCGACTCATTTATTGATCTCATTGATTTGATCCACACATTAATACGTCTTCAGAGTACGACTTACTTCTGCTAACAGGCGTGTCTGGCTGAGCACGTTAGCGTCATGAGCTCACCCAGGCATCTTACAGCTGATGCTCCACAAGCTGAAAGAGAACAAGTCGTCAGCTTCTAATGGCGCACACGACACACTAACGCACACGTGAACATACGTAGGCGACACAGGACACACAAACACGCACACGCAGGCCTGAGGTCGCGGTGAATTGAACGGATCAGTAAGCGTTCACGTTGCACAGCGCAGACAACTAAACGTATTTGGCCCAAACTTAGCGATACGCGTCGTGCACTACGCCTTGGAGGACAGCGGCATTGGTGCTCGAACAGTCACCTCCGCGGGCTTCATGACTCCTTCCATAATTCCACACAACTTGTGGAAAGATCCTCGAGTCGTGCGAAAGTTCGCTTTCCAGTCGTCGTCATCCGATACGGTGAAAACAGAAGACTTTGTTTCTGCTCTTCATCCAGAGCTCTTCCAGACCTTTGCGGTACAATGGCAGAGTTCAACAATATATTGTTGGTCAGAATTAAATTCTCCATGTACCTTCGGCGACGGCGTCTTCTCTCCGTTATCGAATCAGCCAATAGCGCCATTCGCATTCGCCGCGCTGCTGTTAGCATCACGCACACATAGTCGAGGGACGTAGCTTCACCTCGCTCTCCGCTCGCCGTCTTTCTCCTGACGTTGATGTTGTTGTTGTTGTTGTTGTTGGTCGTGGTGAAGAGGTCAAGCGGAAATGGCTGCATCACAACTAGTTGTAATGAAAACAGCGCCACCTATCGTATCGGACATGACGTGTTCTCAGCCAATGATTCCATTTATTCACTGCCGTGAATATTGAGATAACAGCACCTCCCCCCGAAAGATTACAATGATACCCTCATGTACACACACACACAGACACACACTGACACACAGAGACACACACACACACAGACACACAGGTTCCTGAATGACGACACGTCCTCCATTGCTGTGTGCGCTGGATGACCTCACAGAGGTCAAAGTTCAACAACAACCGCCAGCCAACTGGCGTCAAGGACACGTCGCTGCGCGCTGAGCGTGTGAAGGATTCATTCAGAAAGAACAGCGAGCGCGTAGAAAACACCTTCGGCCGTGAGCAGAGATTCTCCTCGCGAGCGACAAAGTTCACCTTCCTGCTCGCTCGCATCAACCTGATTTGCGCTCTCAAATTTTGAGTAATTTGCCAAAACAAAAGGGCCCCCGTTTGTTTTGGTTTGAGCACCTGCCCCCTAAAATATCTGCAACCCACCACACGCAAATATATTTAACAACAATAACCGAAATGGGACAAAGGGAGGAACTTTAAGATGAAAACACTTGGTCACATTCAGGCACATTTTACTGTATGCAAGCAGGCTTCTTTACTGCCTGTTCTTACCCACAATCCTTTGCACAGCAGGTATGAGCCATGGGGTTGAGGAAGTAGCACGAAGCCTCAGTAGAATCCTGAATGTAACAACGTGTACTTTGTGAGGAAGCGGCAGTTTGTTATGAAGGTAAAAGGTTTAACACGCAGCTTCAGACTGATACGAGTAAGTTGTTCCGCCCAAACAGGTTCAACCAGAACCTCAAAGTGGAGAGAAGAATAAAAACACTCTGACTCTGTTGTCTTAGTGGATGTTTTTATTCAACATAAACTCTTCACCACATTTGTTACAAAGGTTTCTGCTTCATCACGTGTTCCCTACTAGTCGAGGACCTTTGACCTTTGTGAACACGGCTCACACTGACACTCAGTCAACCAGTCAGACTTTGTACTTTGATGGTGACGTGAGGACACACCCTCTCTGATGAAGGACAACAAGCTCCAACAAGCTGCTTCGCTTCACTCCGTCTGATGGAAGCTGAAGTGAAGCACGGAGCTCCTTTTCTACACGGACCTGCTGAGGACAGAAGAGAGCTGCTCACTGAGGAAGTTCATGTCTACAAGCTCAGTAAGTGCAGCTGTGATTGGTTGAATGATCATTGATGCTTGTGAACGTGTGATTGTTTAAAGCTGGGAAACAAGATGGCGCCTGTGTGAGCAGGCAGAGAGGAGCTGCTGTTGGTCTGACTGATGAAGAAGAGGAGCTCAGTCTGATCTGGGGTCTGTGAGGACTGTTACTGATGAGGAGGGGAAGGTAGCAGATGGAGGGGCACTAGGACCCAGCAGGGACCACAGAGCTCACCTGGGCCTTTGTTCCTCAAACACACCTGAGAGACGCTCTGTTTGTCTCACCTGCTGCTTCAGTCCTTTAAGTCCACAAAGCTTCATGTTCACTTCTTCATCTGCTTTAAACACATTTAGTCACTTTTTAGTGTTTGAATGTGTTTGTTTTCTTTAGTGTTCAGTTTTTCTCTCATTGATCAGCAGGTCGTAGTCGACCTTTTACTAACTGATCACATGGTGAAGTGAATCGTCCCATCAGGAGAAAGCTTCCCCATGTTACCATGGTAACCACCATGTGTCCTATGAGGACAGCTACATGTCCTCTCTCTGGACTCGGAAGGAGATCAAGAGAAGAAACGGCACAGCTCCATCTGCTGGACGATGAGTGATGATGTTCATCTTTATAATACGGGTGAATGAAGTAAAGCGTTCTGATGGTTTGTGAGTGAGTTACAGGTGTACTGTACCTGGTTACATTGACCCAAGCGTTCCATATCGGTCCACACTCCAAATAACCAGTGGATCTGATTTGAACTGTTAGTTGTCATTTCACTTTTTTGACACTTGTTTTCAGACGCACAAATTAATGTTGATCTCCTGGCTGATGAGCAACAAACGTCTGGTGCGAGGCGAACACAGCCTCATGTACAGGGACTGTTTCCTCTATACTACTGAACTGAGATACACAACGTTTGGTGTCTGAAAAGCAGCAATTTACTTCCAATTTATAACTTTGCTGGCCACCGTGTTCTAAAAGCAATTAGGTACTTGAAGCAGTACTTTAACAAATACCCTTGAACTGTAACATTGACAATAGTACTGCCTCAAGTCTCAGTGTTTCCCCTCCATTAGAACAGTAATTCAGAATAATTCTCCCCCGCTGAAAAAGTGCAATTAAAAAGTAAAATGTAGATATTTGTTTCTGTTTTCCACGCACGGTTCCACACTGACCGGCTTGCAGCAGCGGTGCAGAGAGAACTGAATTGCCTGAACCATTTGACAGACTTTCCACCCCCGACGTTGTAAACCACCTTATTGCTTCATTAAAACACTACGTTTATAGGATGGACATTCAAAATGACGTCTCTTGACACGTTAACAGGGTTTAAAGAAAGTAAAAGGACGTTTGTCTTCCTCCAGAAGTCTAAACGTTAACAGAAGACAACAACACAAAGTGTCCCAGGAGAGTTTTAGTGTTGAGGTGAATGAGCTCTGTGTGTTTGTCCTGATGAAGATCATAATGTGTGAGTTCTCCCAGCAGGTGGGTGTGAAGGTGTGAAGGTGTGGACTCTGCTATGAATCAGGCTGAGGACCCAGAGGACGGAGTCCGTCCCTCTGAAGCTCCTCTGTGTGGAGAACATGACAGCAGGACCAAAGCTCAGAGGTGAGAGGACCATCTCCAACTGTCCTCCACTCGTCTCCATGTCCCAACGTCTTTGACTCACTGACTCTGGTTCTACATGTGTGACCAGGATCCATCAGAGACCTGAACCTGGACCTGCACCCAGCTGTGTGTCCATGAAGAGTAACCGGTCTATGAATCCTCCTCTATACTTCAAAGATGTTGGTCCCTCTGTTGATGCAAGGTGAGGGTCTCAGGCTGATGATGAGGTGTTTCTACCAGACTCTCTGGTGGAGGTTCTGGGTTTCTTGCTACAGGGCCCTTCAGCAGTGTCCTGTGAGAGAGGGAGAGCTCCATGGAGGACTTGGTGAGACCTGTTGGGACTAAACCAAACAGTGAGCTGAAAGACTGAGCTGTTGATTCTCAGTGGGACCAGCAGGACCAGTAGATCTAAACCACTACAGGGACTCATGTGGTCCACATCCAGACCTCACGTCATGGACCTTTACCTTGTTTTGGTCTCTGAGGACGGACACCATGTGAGCTGATGCTTCATGATTAGATGATGATGTGATGATGTAATCTCAGGGTTTCTTTCAGGTCACATCAGCAGAGAGGAAAGTCTCCTGAACCCAGATGTTTGTCCATGAAGAGTGATCGGTCTCAAGGTCGATGGATTAACTTCAAAGATGATCGGTCTCAAGGTCGATGGATTAACTTCAAAGATGGACGCCGTTCTTATGACCCAGAGTAAGTTCTTAAACAGATGAACTGTTTTGATCCTCAGTCATGAATCACAGAAATGGTCGTTCATTGTTTAAAGTGTTGTTTCCATGACGATCCATCATGACAGAACTCATTATCTTCATCTAACTGGTCTGTGAGTGTTTAAGTGTGAATCATTAACTGTAAACATCCTCAGATGTAAACACAATGTGAGCTAGTTCCTGCACATCAGGATCAGCAGAGGTCACATATGGAGACAGATGACTGGGACTGAACATGTGATTAGAATGAACTCGGTGCTCTGTGGACCAGCTGACGTGGTCTCTGGACTCCATGCAGAGGTTTGGACAAAGTATCGTCAGTAGACTCTGTGAAAAGGTCCAAAGACTAGTTTCAGAAGGTCTAAGGAGACTTCTAGAGGTCAGAGGACAGACTGAAGAGGTTTGGAGTAGTTCCATAGGACTTTGTACCAGATGCAGAGGTCTGCAGACGTTGTTCTTAGAACAACTAAAAACAAATCAAACTGTCACTCAACTAATAAACTGTCCGTCCATCATCAACAGTCTTCAGCATCTGGTTTCCGTGGTGATCCATCATGACAGAAGCCAATATCTTTAACTAATGTTGTATTGGTGTTGATGGTCCAAACACCATGTGAGCTGATGGTTCATGTTCCTCCACAGAGAGGACCAGGAGAGCTCAGAGGTTCCCACAGGTCCGTCTGCCCAGCAGCATCAAACACACCTGGACTCCATCTTCATGGTGTGTACATGAACAACTACTTTTACATCTCCGTTCACCATCATCTCCATGCTGCACTTTGTAGACCAGTGGATTGTCCGTCTGTCCAACATGTGCCTGATGGTGGTTTCCATGTTCTAGTTGACATTCATAGAATGTTCTGTTCCAGCTGCTGGAGGAGAACATCCTCACTTTTGTAAAGAACGAGCTGAAGAAGTTCCAGAAGGTTGTGAGTTCAGATTACCCAGAATGCTTAGAGAAAGAGGATGAGGAGGTGCTGGATGAAGAGCAGAGAAGGTTCAGAGAGGCATTTGAGAAGATCTCAGTGCACTTCCTGAGGAGAATGAAGCAGGAGCAGCTGGCTGACTGTCTGCAGAGCAGTAAGAGGATTTCTCTACAGATGCTGATAAATGAGACCTTCACTAATGTCTCAAGAGACGGACAGAATATATTCATAGTCATTCTCTGAGGAGAGGACATGTTGACATCTATTCTGTGACTCAATGATCTTCTTTGTTGTCTTCATCCAGGACTTCATGCTGCAGATTGTCAGCGTAAACTCAAATCCAACCTGAAGAAGAAGTTCCAGTGTGTGTTTGAGGGCATCGCTAAAGCAGGAAACCCAACCCTTCTGAATGAGATCTACACAGAGCTCTACATCACAGAGGGAGGGACTGCAGAGGTCAATCAAGAACATGAGGTCAGACAGATTGAAACAGCATCCAGAAGACCAGCTAGACCAGAAACAACCATCAGACAAGAAGACCTCCTCAAAGCCTCAGCTGGAGGAGAGGAACCAATCAGAACAGTGATGACTAAGGGAGTGGCTGGCATTGGGAAAACAGTCTTAACACAGAAGTTC